CCAGTGTATAACACTCAGAAGTTGTGAACATTTAAAGGTATCTCCCATGAAATGTCCTTACAATTTGAAGTTGGTGACCATGTGTATTTGAAGGTATCTCCCATGAGAGGTGTGCATCGATTTGGTGTCCGTGGGAAGCTAGCCCCTAGCTATGTTGGACCTTACAAGATTTTGGCCTGATGTGGTTCTGCTTTCTACCGTATCCAGCTCCCGGATATTTTGTCAGCAGTGCATAATATCTTTCATGCTTCCAAGTTGAAGAAATGTTTGTGGGTCCCCGATGAAGTGGTGGAAATGGAAGGACTCACTCTCCAACCTGACTTGTCTTATATTGAGCATCCTGTCAAGATCTTAGATGAAAAAGAAAGAGTGACTAGAAACAATGTGATGAAGTTTTATAAAGTTTAGTGGTAAAATCACTCGGAGGACGAAGCAACATGGGAGTAAGAAAGCTATATCTTGAAGCATTATCCCCATCTTCTTTCTAGTTCACCGAGGTAATTGTTTAAATCGAAATTTATTTCTTATCTCTTTTTCCACACTAGTCATATGAAATCTCGGGACGAGATTTTGTTTAAGGGGGGTAAATTGGTGATAGCGCTAGCTTTAAAAATGTTACAGTAGCTTCATGGTATTATTATGTTCTCACTGTAATTTTTGTAGCCTTAGAATAGGCTAAGTACTAGCGTAGTTAGGTGCTCCTTGTTGTAATATAAGTTAAATCGCTAATAAGAGTAAGATTACATTTTAGTTGCTAAGTTAATATCCGTTAGATGAATCCATACCTGTTTTTGTGGAAATGAAAGTTAGCTTAGTATCTTAGTCATTAGAGCTAGCTTAGTAGCTTACCATGTGTATTCTTATTTTAAGAGTTGCTGTTGTCGAAATGTTGAGTGTTGCATCATCATCGCATGCATGTAGAGAACGAGTTGGTGGAGATCGTGACCATCGGAGATCACGAGTTCGAGGAGGTGATCGAGAAGTACGAGGAGAAGACCCTCGTGCAGGAGGAGGTCCTGGAGCCACCACTGACTGACTGAGCTGACACCCCTCCTGTCCAAGGCAAGCCCCGGTGCATAACCCTTATTTTGAATAATCACTGGATATATATATGTGATGTGCATTTACGTTACAGGCTTATTGTTGAAATTACATGCATAGATATACCTACCTTTGAGTCCTACTAGCTTAGGCCGCGTAGCTACTATGCTTAGGTTTTTCAGTAGCGTGAGTAACCTGTCGTTACTCGCAATAGGTGATTATTAATATTACTCATGATAAAATGGTGAAAGGAAATGAAGGCCAGGCAGGGATATGATACGGGTATTGGTGGGTGTAAGAGGTTGTGTCCTGCGACTAACGAGGCATGGCTTGGTTACACTGTTTTCCCTATCTGTGTCGGTTAAGGACCGGCCGTTGTATTGGATTCTAATCAGGTCACTGACTTATTATCCTGAGCACATACTTGCTTATAGGGGTGGGAAGGCTGGTTGCTCTCTTGTCGCGGGTTCAGGCTCTTTTCGGACCGACTGATTGGATGCGGGGATGGTGGAGGTCTAAGCACCACACTGAGTCTGCGACTCAGGTGTGGGGGCTTAGAGTCCAAATTTGGATGGGGTCCTGGACCCCTTGATAGGAGAGTTGTGGGTTGGTCCTGCTTGTGCCTGGGGTATAAGCGAGGCGTGTGTTTCGGGGTACCCAGCTAGCCTACATTGGTTCATGAATCGCCGTATTACCGTGTAATACGGTACGACTTGTCTACAATCTAGCACCGTAGTAAGAACTGGAAGATGAAAGATGGTGAAACGGATCTGATTTCTTAACTCTTGCTTGAAAGTAGAACATGTGCTTACATAGAATGGTTAGCTAATAAACTAACCAGGACTGCTAAAAAGAAACATACATAAGGATTCACTACTAGTAATGCTTTTCGCAAAAAGGAAACCCAACAAACCATAAAGCCTATCATATCCTTTGGAGTCGGGAAATTATTCCCACTAGTCGGGTAAGTCTTGCGAGTACATTGTGTATTCAGGGTTTATTTACCCCTGTTGTAGGTGCAGCTTGACCAGAGGCTATTGTGTGGAGGATTCTTCTGGTGGGCACAGACGAATCCTTATATCTTACCGCTAGATGTTTATTTCAATTCCGCTGTTTAAATTCCGCACTCTAAACTTGATATTGTAATAATGTATTTCTGAGAACTCTTGTTGCATGAAACGGACTAAGTATTGTAAACTCGTTCTTATTATTGGATCATGGAGGGAAAACATGAATTATTCGAGTTCTCCCTTGGGGTGTGCTCGACGGAACTGTCCGATGTACTTACTTTCGGAGTGCTTAGTGTCTGGTGGAAGACGAGCGCCTCTGAAGGTGTGTTATTTTAGACAATTCTGTCACAACATTGTCCAATAATGATTAATGCCAGTTGCCTTATAACTAAGACCTATTTAACTAGGGACAATCAGTCTCAGTACACAAAAGGCATCTTGTTTTCTAATTAAGATGTTTGGATATTTATGTGGCAAGCGATATCATCGGTGGCTACGTGTTCCATGACAAAGTCTACCAAGGTTTGTTTCATATGTGTTTAAATTTATTGTCAAATTAAATACTTAATTTCGACCATGCACTTTGTTAAGAAACTTCATATTTCACCTAAACACGTATGCTAAGAAATTACATGACAAAACACTACTTTCTGAACCATAAATTTAATATCTTTTCCTGGAATTTTGGAGTCTATTTTGATTATAAACAAGTTAAACTAAAACTCAAATATATCATTACATGGAAATTTTAATTCAAAACTACAAGAGGCATGATGCCAGATATAAGCAAAATGGGTCATGCTTAAGAGGCATTATACCTACTCTTGAAGAAAAGGACAATTTCATTGAAAGCTCCAAACATAATTAGTACTAAGATGAGCTCAATTAGTGGCATGTTTAAGAATGAATACGACATGCCATGTAGCTTAAGAGATATTATCCCAAAGTTGAGTTTTAATATATTGCTATAGCTGAGTTGCAGTATTATTTCGAGTAATAATACATCAACCGGTGATGTCAAGCACTTTGATTTAATATTGTGTTGTGAAATAAAGAACCTAGGATCAAATTATTAAGCTTGAGAAAATAAGAACTAAGCTGATGGTAGCATATTTGATAATTTGAGGCTTAATGCTTATTCCATTTATGAGCGTGCAAATCAGTTTGGGTTTTAGTGTAGAGTCTCTAACTTGATTCCCGGAAACAGGGCCATATATATTAAACTCTCAATAAGTAAATAAGCTTTCTAACAAGTTATTGCATTGAACTATCATGGTGTTTGGTTCAACTAAATGTAACGTAATTGGATTACAGAGGGTAATGAATATTGTTACTGTTGTTTGGTTGGACTTGTCCCAATATTAGGTACCCTTATTCAATTCCGATCCCAGACATCCCCAAGCCTTATCCGATACCGCCGCCGCCGCTATAGGACTAGGGCGCTTCCTCTTCCTCGCCTCGCGATTCCGTAGATGCAGCCGTGGTCGACGAGGGGCTTCAAGTTCAAGATCCGCGTCAACTCCTCCCTCATGTGCTCCACGGTCCAACAGCTAACTCACGTCGCTCCCCACGAAGTTGGCGACCCCAAGATGTTCGTCCTCCCCACCCCCGGGGACAAGCTTGGCCCTGGATTCAACGTCGCCGCCGCTACATCCGTCGTCCCTGTAGTCGTGAGGAGGTGGTGGTGGTGGTCCTCGCGGCACCTGATGCCGTGCCTGGCAGCGGCGGTGCTGTTGGGGGCCATGATCGGAAGAATCACGGCGGCCACCGGGAATGGCAAGGCCAAGGGCTGATGCGGTGGGAGCAAGGTGGACTTGCACATGCTGCTCGTCAGGGGAGGGGCTCCAGCACCGGCCAGGTTCGTCGCTAGGTGAGCGTCGTCGTGCGTTCGTCGCTCCCTGAAGATTGGTCACTCAGCGTCGTCGTGCAGCTCGTGCACTCAGCTGATTCCATTACCGTCCAAATCCAAACAAAGTCTGTGATTTGATTCATTGATTATGGTCCCAGGGTAATTCGATTTCGTTTACATTTGTGTTTACATTTGCCAACCAAACAACACGTATGTGTAATGGGGTCCCAGTAGTTATGAAATGCAGGTAAGGACGCATTGGTCTGGTCTTACGGTTATACTAAGTGTGAAGTTTAAAGTGAACTTAAATATTGTTAGGCGTTCAATCAAGTGGGAGAATGTTGGAATGTGATCTCAGGCCAACATATTTGTTTCGCCAATATTTATTAGGTCCACCTGTCAGTGTGAAACTGTTAAGTTATTTGCTGCGATCGGCGGCAACCCTAAGGGTTATCTCGAGTCGGTCCCTAAGTGTATATAAATAAGACCAAATGTGATTTCGGGATTAAGGCTAATGCCTCGACACCTAAACCTATCTAACCGATCAATTAGACGTCGGAGGGGTTCGAAATTGCGACTCCTTGTTTCAGGAGTCCAGGAGGCTAAAGATCGAATCTACGTCGAGTTCTTCATCAAGAGAGACCACTAGCTCTTACATTGGTGAAGATAAGTTCATCTACATCAACTCCTACATAAGTATACGAGCACAGATGGCATCTACCGACCTGGTTAGTATCTGAGATTAATATTTTGCATTAAGATGAGTTAGTGATCATGCTGAGGCTAAGATTAAGATCCTATTTTATCTGATTTTTATTTTAACAACATTCACACCCTCTCTAGTCGTCTGTTCGGTCCTTCAGTTTCATTTATCGTCTTGGACATTAAGAGAGGAATTATGAAGCCAGAACATTTGCTTCCATTATCTAAAAAAATGTTTTCTCAATCTCACAACACACAACACAATTCGAAAATTATTACACACATCGCGGACACGATCAACAACACCAATGTGATCGTGCTTCTTATTTGTGTTTCGATTTACATGCTACCAACACTCTTGCCGCCCCAGCCAGAACAGCATCGCCGTCCATGTACGCTTATTTCTTGAGGAACTTCGTGAACCAGTGTGCAGAGCTCTTGGGGTACCGCTTCAGCCCGTCGTTGTAGTCCACGAAGTTTATCCCGAACCGGACAGTGTAGCCGTTCACCCACTCGAAGTTGTCAAGGAGCGACCATGCGAAGTAGCCCTTCACGTTGGCGCCGTCCCTGCAATGAGTTGCATTGCGAGTCAGATGCAGTTACTGTAATTCAACACGCGCATTTGCAGCTTTGGTGGCTCATTCCCACCTTATGGCACTTTGCAGGGCAAGAAGGTGGGTGTGGTAAAACTCTATCCTGGTGTCGTCCTTCAGAGCTTCCTCGAGTGAGAGGTTCTTGTTGTTGGCTTCGTCGACGCCTAAAAGTTTCAGATAACAGATTTTCAGATGCTTTCTTTCGTTTCTAGCTAGCTCTCTCTTTCAGGAACACTGAAGTTACCATTTTCAGTGATATAGACGGTAGGATTGCCATAGTTTTCCTTAACATAAAGCAGCAATTCACGGAAGCCTCGAGGGTATATGAACAGCCAAGATGAAGCAGCCTACACGTGCCATTCGTGGAAATGAATCGTTGGTTCATTTAGCCACAACAAAATGGGAGACAATCCAAGTTACTTGTGAGACCTGTTGTTACCTGTGGACCAATAGGGACACCATTTCGAAAACCTAACAAATCATCAGACGCGTGATTAGTTAGTTAGTATATATAATATATCAACAGAAAGTGCAGTATAAATGCATGCACATTCACACCAAATTGTAAATCCTAATGAGGAATGTGTCAAGTAAAATGACTTAATGTGATGGCGCCTAGAGATTGCACAGTTCATGTTATATAGTTGCATTATGTCAGAAATGCTACAGTATCATATTAAGCAAGAGTTTTCTTTTTCTTTTTCAGAGTTTTGCCTCATATATATATGCATTTCAGAAGAAGTAGATGCGATACTCTTCATTATTACCAAACTGATAAATGAACAGAAGTGGATTGATCGTTGACTTTAGGATAACTTACCGGTAAGATTAGCACGGGCATCAGTGCTATAGCTAACGTTGAGGCCGTTTGATTGAGGAAGGTTGTCAGCGTAGTTTGTAGTGTAGTAGTTTAGCCCAATGAAGTCGAATGCGCCCTTGACCAACTCAGACTGTTCCTTTGTGAACTGTGGCAAGCGGTTTCCAACCAATGCTCTCATGCTTAGCGGGTACTCTCCTCTAGTAAAGGGGTCCATGAACCTAGAATGACATTATTAGCACGGGCATCAGTGAGTTCTTTATTTTCTTCTAGACTAGACTTGGTCAATAATGAAATTCTGTGAGGAGCACAAACAATTATATTTAGTTATTTACCATCCAAGCATGAAGTCGATGGCACGCCTCGCTGCATCATCGTTTGATTTGGAACGGGAGAAGGGCACAAACCAGTGTGAGACTAGAGTTATTCCAATATTTCCTTTTTGCTCCACCTGCATTCGGCATGCGGTCATTGATGAATTGAAACTCAGAATTGCATAGTTTCAATTGAGTTGTTGTTCATTGATGAACTGAAACTGGATGGGTGAGTTCATCTCTGACCTGGTACTTCTCTTTGTACAGGCGAACTGCTTCTGCATGGGCGAGCAGCTGGTGATGACATACAGTGTAAGGCTCCCTTCCTGAATCCCCAGCGCTGCACTTGCCCTGCTCCCACGGCGAGCACCGGGCTGGCGCAAATATGCCAGATGCATACCCACCTGAGCAGAATTGCGCAGGTTCATTGAACGTTATCCAGTGTTTCACTCGATCACCAAACTCTTTGAAGCATACTTCAGCGTAGTCCTTGTAGTCATTTCTGCAACAGTTGCAGCAATGAACGATATATCATACAGGTTGGTACATAGTTTAATCACAAATTCACAATGGGGAGACACATTAGTGTAGTTTCCCTCCACTAACACTAGATAATCTGTTGCACAATTCTCATGTTAGTGGGGTCGTCTTAAGCTAAGAATTACTAAACTCTCCAGAAGTATCATTGCCAGTAGGATTTTAAGCTTAAAATAAAGGGCTAAAAGGGTCGAGACTTACATGATGTTGGGACTAAGAAATCCTCCGTATTTGTCTTCTAATGCCTGAGGCGAGTCCCAGTGAAAAAGGGTCACGAAAGGTTGTACCCCTGTGAATGCATAAGAATAAGATTGACTATTGGATCGGGAGATGCTAATCAAGGCATGAATGAATACCTTTCGACATGAGCTCATTGATCAAGTTGTTGTAGTATCTGATTCCTTCTCTGTTGATGCCACCGCTCAGACTTCCATCTGCCATTAGATTCATATAGCTAAGTTTGATGCAATCAATCTACTTGGACTTTCTAATATGTCCAAGGTAGTGCAGCCTAGAACGCCTGAATAATAAATTACGTACTTGGAAGAATTCTTGTCCATGAGATGGAGAACCTGTATGCATCCATTCCCATATCCTTTATCAGGCGCACATCTTCCTGTATTTTTCAACAAGTCCTCCCCATGGATCAGTGGTGTACTAACATGTTTTTGTTGGCAGCTTGGATTAAAATTTAAAGATAGTGTTGTAAGTTTAATCTGACATAAGTAATTAAAGAGCCTGCTGAACGCCTTGGAGCCTATAATTCCTTGAAAATTATTGAGGAAATATTTAGTAAAAAGAACAGAAGACGAGGTTAATAAAAATATTGAAGTCCTACATACTTTGTAGAGATGATAGGAATCTATGGCCACATCCCCGTTGCTTCTGTCAATGATTTTATCTGCAAGATCGCAAAAGTGTCAAAATTTCTAAGTGGGTTCCTTAACTATTGTTTCTTATCATTCTAATTCAATGCGAGAATACAAGTTGCCTCTGATATGTCCATAGACTACGTCAAATGTAAGTTTTCTTGCCAGTCCACAGCAATAATCAAGCTCAATAAAACGGGCAATTTCCTTTATATGAGCAAATCTGAAAACAAGATTTAAAAACATATTAGCTTGCGAAGGAGATAAAAACATGCCTGGGTGCTGATGAGTGAAGGTGTCCCAGATGCTTGGTCCTCTGCCCCCCTCCAACACCCCGCCCTCATACTGCATGTAGACGTCAAGATACCTCGTATGAGAACTAGTCCAAACACAGCGTCATGACTCATGAGAAATACTAGCTAGGACAATGATTACTTGGATCAGACAATGATCCTCATATGCTGATGTTTATACTCTTATCAACTTGTGTTGCCAACTATATACTATACATGTTTGTGGTGAACATTATGTCGCAGCTTGTGATGTTTTGTAGGCAGAACAGACTGCATCTTTTTTTATTGTGATAAAAAAAAGTGGGTGTTAAATATCCTGAATCAACATTTTGGAATGCTTTCCATCAATACCACCATTTGAGGTGTACTTTTAATTTATACCACCAACTTGTCAATGACATGCAGGACCAGACCAGACCCTATATGTCATTGACTAGCTTAGGTGTATCATGGAAAGCGTCCCCATTGTTCAGAAAAAAATGAAAAGCTTCCCACAATGCACCAATTGGAAAGCCCCACTGTCCTAAAATGGACAGCAAGAAGCCAAGAACATGTGCTGTGTACATACGAATGGACAGACAGAACATTCACCTGATAGGAAGCAGAGGATGCCCCGAAGATGAACCCCTCAGGAAAGCTCCTCCGGCTTATCGGTGGCTGGCCAGCACCGTCGTAGGCGCCAGCAGCAACTGTTAGAAGGACAAACAGAGGTAGAAGGCGACTCACAGCCATTGTTGTGTGAGTGTGGCAACTAACAACAGAGTGTGGAGCTTGTTAAGTGCATGCCCCCCTTGGCACTCCATATCTAATAGGCTCTCAGCATTGCTGTGTCTTGTGTTTTCTCATTGGGTGCTGGCCACAGTGACAGGGACATGGGCACTCACCAGTACTCGGTTGTCATATTCTCATGGATAGAGTACCAGTTCAACACCTGTAGTGGATCAACAGAAATATGTATATGTATATATTGCTCGTGCGGGCCTGCAGCTAGTCGCTTCGATCTCTGTCATAAGACTAAGTAAGTTGGTGACTCAGTAATTTGCTGTATTTCCTTTTAAAAAAGATGGCAGGAATGCCACATGTCTTTACTTTAAGGAGGCTGAAAGTTGCAAAACAAACTGGCAAGAAGGAAACAACAACAGGCACTGCGACAGCATAGCGATCAGGGAAGGGACCCGGAGATTATTCGTAGCACTGCTGCTGTGCTGCACCATGCGTGCACAAGTGTCGTAGCACAGTGGACTGGGGCAGAGGCTCGGCTCAGTCAGTGGCCGCTCGCGCACGGCGGCAGCGGCGTCCCGCACAGGCACTTGTTGTGCCCTTAGGCCACCGCCTTGAACCACCCCATCGCCCGCCGGTGGGTATCTCCCCGCAGAGCTCGTTGTAGCTGAGGTCCAGAACCACCACGCTGGACTGCTGCAGCGACGCCGGCACGCGACCGTAGATCCGGTTGTGGCTCAGGTTCAGGAGTAGCAGGTTCCTGGGCATCTCTAAGCCGGTCAGGTTGAACCGCAGCCGGTTCCCGGACAGGTCGAGGCTGTCCACCGTCTTGCGCCGCCCGATCGAACAGGAACGACGCGTCGCCGGTGAGCCGGTTGTTTTGGCCACCTTGAACTCCATCACGTGCTTCTCCAGCGCGTACAGCCAGGGGATCTCCCCCGACAGCCGGTTGTTGGACAGCGTCAGGCCCAGCGGCAGCTCGGGCGGGCGTGCCGCCGTGCACGAGCCGGGGCGGGATCCTCCCGACGAGGTCGTTGTTCGAGGCGTTGAAGAAGGTCAGGTGCGGCAGCTTCTGCAGCGACGTGGGGATCCTGCCGGTGAGCTTGTTGCGGAGGAAGCTGACGGAGGAGAGGTTGGTGCGGAAGAGGGATGCCGGGATGGAGCCCGACACCGAGGTGACCATGATGTTGAGCACGGACAGGTGCGCGAGGTTGCCCCAGGAGTCCGGGGATGGGGCCGTGCAGGCCGGGGATGTTGACTATGTTGATGCCGCGCAGCTGGTCGAGCTCGCCGATGGCCGGCGGGAGTGTGGAGGTGATGTTGACGTTCTCCATGAAGAACGTGTCGATGCGGCGGTACTGGTTGCAATACGCGTATGGCCAGTTGCAGTGGTCCGTGCCGGGCTGCCACTCCGCGAGCGCATCGGGGTTGCCGAACTGCGCCTTGATCTTGAGCAGGGTCGGGAGGTCAGGGTCATTGCCCTCAGACTGGGACTGGGAGACCACCGACATGGTGATCAGTTGGGACTAAGATGAAAACGGTCGGAAACGGTCGAAAAACTCCTAAATTGTTTTCTACTTTTACATTTGAAATACGAAAACGAAAGCGAAAACGGTAAAGCCGGACACGAAAACGAACGCGAACTTACGAAATATCGAGAATTCCGAAAACGAACCAATTCGAGCGGATTTATGTCGAACACGGTCGATATACGAAAACTCAATACGGAATACCGACCCGTAGGACCAAGTGCATGACTAAGTACATACATGATCAAGTTCAAGTGCATATAATAATTAACAAGTGTATGATCCTTGGTCTTAAGTATTTAACACAATAGCCGACACATAAATATAAGTCTAGAACAAGCAATTAGTAGTTAGCAGGATAACAGGAATTAAAATTAGATGTAGCAACTAGCAATTGGGTTGTATGACCTATGCAGTTGGCCAAATTCGGTTTAAATCGAATTTTGAATTCGGAATATTTCAAATTAAAAGTAGAAAAGTAGAAAACGGTCAAAAAATGTCTAAACCGTTTTCTACTTTTACATTTGAAATACGAAACATCTGAAATGCGAAAGCGAAAACGGTAAAATCGGACAAGAAAATACGGATTCGATCGGATTAAATATAGAAAACGATACGGTTCGATTCGGGATATTTCCGTTCCGTTTTCATCCTAGGACAATAGGAGGACCCAAATCCATATGAGCGAGCGTTCACCGGATTCCTGTTCAGCGAACAGCGCGCGCGCATGGACTGGCTGCCGGATGCTGATGTCATTTTTTGAAAAAGGAAAACATTTATTTAAAAATATTATAACTTCTCGATGTATTTGTTTTTAATTCTGTCTGCACCGATATGTTCTACGCGACGAGACACACAAAACTAGACATTACTTGTATATGTTTCGAAGAATTTTTTTTCCAGTAGCAATTTATGTGTATTAAATTATGACATATAATATATAACTTATAATTTATACACATAAGGTGATGAGGACATGACCTCCATACATATGACCATGCTTGGAGAATCATATGAAGACCAAGGAGATCAGCGAGGGTGTCCTAACCAAGAAGAAGGCCCGAAGCTCATCCGGTTCGAGTCACCGAGGTGGAGGCCCAAATCAAGTTCGAGCCTATCTCGGGTTTCAGGATCAGTCTGTCTTAAACTGATCACCCAGGACGCATACGGACTCCGTTTTTGACGATACACATATGGATAGAAAGCTAATTTGATAAGGAAGCCAATCCAAGTGGTTTCACGTTAAAAGCTCTTCGGAATCAACGGAAATCATCGAAATAAGTCAGCGTCCAGAATCTGCCAGGGTGCTACGACACTGTCTTTTGGTCCGTCGGACCGTGTATCGTGTTTGGGCCCATTAGGGGACGCGTCCAGGGGGGTGACGCCCAAGACTCTATAAATAGCAGCCGTCGCTCTCCTTAGGGTTTGGGTTTTGTTTAGTTCTTAATTTCCTCGTGAAACAAATATCGTTTTGCTGCAACTGTCGCCGCCAAGGCCGCTTGCTGTGAACCAGGGCCCCAGTTCTTGATCTTGTTCGACTATGGTGATTAGTCCTTTCGAATAAAGACTTGAACTCCTTCTTATTTTCATAAGCCTCATATTTATTTACAATTTTAGATTGCGTTCATCTCGTTCTTGCTTGTGTTCTCGATTCGCTTGCAGGAAAGCCTTCTCGGCGAGGTCAATCGTGTTCGTGTGGTTGATAACCAATGGAGCAGTGGTGTAACGGTTGCGGGGGTCCGAATCAGTCTTGGTTCGAAGCCTAGATCATGAACGTTGAGTCTCCACCAATCGACGCTATCATACCTTTCAGAAGATCAGGCCTAGTCTACATCACAAGGTGTATTGAATAACTTTTTACTGGTCGGATTCATTTAGTGGCATGGCTACACCTACACAGATGTTCCTTTTTTTCTTCCTTTTTGTTTTTTCTACCATTTTTTCTCTTTTTTGTTATATATTTATAAGTTGTACTACATAATTATTTTTTACATAGTTTTCATATTTCTACTGATATGTTATGATACTAATTTGCACATCTATGTTCTTAATATAACTTATATGTTCAACTTTGTAAGTCATTAAACAAGTTATATATCTAAGTTATACAAACAAGTAATACATAACAGTTTTCTGTATAATTTTTGAAGCTTTTTATGAAATTATGTTAATAGGTTTGTTCCATAAAATATTATACATAAAAGTTATGTATATAACTTTGTCATATAATAAGTTATATGTATAAGTTATGTGCTTTAACTTTGTCACGTTGAAAATGTATGTTGAAGTCATGTGTATAAGTTATATGTATAAGTTGTACCTAACTTGTGTTTTCATGTGTATGCTAGTTAACTTATTTGATTAACTTATAGTACATAGTTATGTATCTAACTTGTGTTCTCATGTGAATGCTACGTAACTTATTTGATTAACTTATTGTTCAGAGTTATGTACCTAACATGTCTTTTTATGTATATGCGATCTAACTTATTTGATTAACTTATTGTATAGAGTTATATATGATCAACTTACTGAACTTAGTTTTATATTTATCACCCTATGTTAAATTATCATGTTAGTTTTTGCTATTAAGCTATGTGTTTCTTTGTTGACAACTTTATTCTTTTTGTATTTATGATTTTTAAATATTAAATATTTTGTAGATCTTGCAATTGAAGACACAGATGCTGAATATCATAGTTGTATAAGCTATACAAATCTATTTTGTAACTTGTTATTGAAGTTTGCATCATCTTATGGGATTTTCTTGTGTAGTCTATGGTGTAAAAGTTACTTTTATCCCCCCGACCCTTTTTAAAACCCCTTTTCCATGTTCTCGAATGATTAGTTTCTGGAACGAAAAGAAAAATGCTGATGAAATCTAAAGAGAATGTTCTATAATTTAGTACGCTTAACTTATTCCTTCGAAGTTATGCTATGTAACTCAGTTTGTGTAAGTTATGCGCAAGAGGAAAGAGAACGATAGTTTCACATGCAAGCGCATGAAAAGAAAACGAGACAGGCACGTTCGCGTGTGCAAAAATAAAATAAAGGGCCTACCTGCCGAATGGTGAAAGTAGTAGGATTTATTTATTCCTAAAATGAAAATTGCAGCGGCTGTCTGATCGCTGGCCCGACTGAAATTTGGTGAAAGTTCGCGATTTAGTCGCGTCGATGGGAGGAAGAGGATGATCAGTTGCCTGGGCCTGGCCATGGACATGGAACATTCGGTACTATACATTCAATCGTTTGAGGTGTCTCATAAAGCGCGGTGACCAGCTGATGAAACAGACTGGCAGTGGCAGGGCATACGTACGTAGAGGCGTTGAGGTCAAGTAAGTGTTGACTAATCTTGATTCGTCTTAAGGTAAACCACGTTCTGGTCAAGGTTTCATGAGTCGTTTGATGCAGCTACAAGAAAAAGGAGCGTGGTGGGTAAGTTTCCTGCCACTCACTTGTACATGCAGTGGGGAGGGTGAGGTA